AACCCAGAGACACTGGTTGCCCAGCCCCCTCCCCTGTGCCTGTCCTTCCACACAGCCCCCACCAGAGCCTCCTCGCCCAGCAGGCAGCAGGAAGAGGCAGGCACACTCCTGGGGGCTGGCCTCCCCCTGGGGGAAGACCATGCGGGTGCCGGGGCGCCTCATGGCCTCCCTGAGTCTCATTGGCTTCGTGGACAGCCCAGAGATGCCTCCCTCATCTAGCCACACCCAGACCATGCCTCGCTAAACATAGCCAGACGCAGGCCCCGCCTCCGTGGAGACCCCTCTGGGCCCTGAAATTACAGCCCTGGCGGCCTGGGGCAGAGAGCCGCTGTGTGATTATGTCCTCAGGGAAAGGTCAAAAAAAGCTGTGGCATGGAGAGTGCCATCTTTCACTGGCCACACCTTAGCTATCAGCACTGGGAAGCTTCCAGAGAGTGGAGGCTCGGCGCACTCCGCAGCAGCTCAGCTCCCTCTTGGGTACGTCCAAAGGGTGGCCTCCATCGGGGATGGTTCCCAGCCCCCTGCACCCAGACGGTCTCCTGAGCCCAGTTAAGTATGTTACCTCACGGCTCCCAAATATCCAAATGTCTGAATGTTTGACTCTAGCCTCCAAGGACGCTCCGGGTAGGAGGGGCTGCTCCCTGGTGACAACGGGCCTGGCTCCCCGACTGTCGCTGACCCGCCACTGAGGGTGTGGAGAATGGGAGTGGATGAGGCCAGCAGACTGTGAGTGAGGCCCACATGTGAGGCCGTGAACTTGGAGATGCTGGCTTGGCTTCAGGGGCCACGGTGCCCAGGAGCCTCGAGGGCCCTCTCAGAGATCTTGGCTAAGTCCTGGGCGGGGTCACTTGCTCAAGAAGTGACCTCCATGCGTGTCTGAGCTATGACCCTGCTGGGCACCTCCCTGTTCTGTGGCCCCGCCCTGAGCACAGAAGCCAGGATGCGCTGGGAGAAGCCTGACCGTGTGGCTTCTGGTCTGGTAGCACGTGTGTCGGGGCGGGCCGGAGAATGGGCGGGCTGACTGACTGACTCGGTGCCCAGGGAGGGGACAGAGAGACAGATGGGAGATCTGAGGAAGGAGTGAGGAACCAGAAAGAACAGACGGGGGGGGAGGGGGTGGGGGGGGCGACGACGTGTAGAGGCAGACACAGCCCAGCAGCAAGGCCAGGAAGGCCAGAGAAGGGGGCTGGCAGAGGGCCCCTGGAGTTCAGGGCCGTACTGTTCTTTCCAGGCCCCAGAGGTTCATGGGACCAGCAGCTGGGTGGGCTGGAGCTCAGGGGGAGCTCTCTCAACTGCTGTTGCCTCGGTAGAGGCCCCTTTCAAGTCCCTGGACCTTGACCTGGGGGCCACGTCCCAGGCTTCCAGACTCTACACTCCAGGGAGCCCCACCAGAGGCAGGGTTTCCCACTGAAAGGGGGGCCATGACCCAAAGCCTGCCTGCTGTGTGCCCTGCTTCTCTCCCGGACCCCCCCCCCCCCCCCCGGCCGGGCCCCCCTCCCCCCCTCTCAGCTCCTTATCCTCCAGCACACGCCCCATTGTCTTAACACCCTTGCCCTTGCCTTGCCCTTGCTGGCCCTCCTGTCTCCTAACTACTACCCTGCCCTGCGACCTCCCTGCACCCTCCCTGCACTCTGGGGCTCTAGGCTGGCTCCTGGGGAGCGGGCTGGGACAGTGAGGGGAGGGCCGGATGCCCTGAGCAAGGATCCAGCAGGCTTGGCCAGCCCTCCGTAGCCCTTTGAGAAAAGTGTCCAGACTCGGGCTTTGGGGGCCTGTCTGGTGGTGTCCCGGAGGTCCAGGACATGCTGGGAGAGGGCCCTCGTCCCCCACGAGCTCATGCTGACCAAGGCTGGGCTCCGCCTCTCACAGCCCCCCTGACCCCTGTGACTTGGCCAGCCCGGTGTACCACGTGTTCTTGCGGAGCTAAGACAGCTGTGCATGGGCCTCCACAGAGCCTGGGGGCCTCAGGAAATGCCTGCGCTTCCTTCCGGCCTTGCCCTCCATGCCTGCCCTCCCCTCCCTCCAGCGGCCTCCTCCCAGCCTGGGGAAGCCAGAGCGCAGGGGGCCACAAGGACGGGCTGCTCCCAGCTGGGGTTCACGTTGTTCCTGGGCTCGCAGGGGAAAGCGGAGGCTTGGGGAGAGAGAGCAGGAAGGGGAAGGACTGGGGAACTGAGGTGCTGCCTGGCTGGTCTGGGAGTGGCCCCCAAATTAGAGGGCCAGGCTGGCCGAGTGACTCAGGGGCAGACTGCAAACCACAGACACGAGAGCCTTCCAGGCGCAAGAGCCGTATTTAAGGAAATATTGCCCCAGATGCATCCCCCATTGTCACCCGCAAGCTCCCTCCGGGGGCACGCCTGGCCAACACCAACACCTCCAGGGCTGTGCACTGTGCAGGGGACACTGCAGCTGCCCCACCTAACTGGGGTGATACTCTCTCCCCGCTACTCCTCGCTGTGTGCTAGTCCTTTCACTGCCAATGTTCTTCTTCCCTCCTTTTTCTCTTGTATATTTTAAGTCACTTCCTCTAGGAAGCCGTTCTGAACCTCTGGTGCTGGATGTAGGCCTGGGAAGGCAAGAAACAAGAGTGCCCCCCACACACAGGGCTCAGAGCTCAGCTCCGGAGCTCCCAGAGTGCCTTTCCCCAGCAGAGCTCCAACCACCGCTGGGACTCCTGGAGGCCAAGGACGTGAGTGTGGGCTCCTGGGGTCCCAGCCCCCGGAGCAGGGCAGGGCCAGTGGAGGGCGGCATGGGCAGGCGCACAAGGCCAGGTGGGGCCTCAGATCCAGCTAAAGGCTCCTTGGGGCAATGGGCGTGTCTTACATGGTGGGGTTCTTTTCCTTTTTAGAAAAAGCTTTATTAAGATACAATTCACATACCATAAAGTTCACTTATTTAAAATGTACTATTCAGGGCTCCTGGGTGGCTCAGTGGGTTAAAGCGTCTGCCTTCGGCTCTGGTCATGATCCCAGGGTCCTGGGATCAAGTCCCACATCGGGCTCCCTGCTCAGCGGGGAGCTGCTTCCCCCTCTCTCTCTGCCTGCCTCTCTGCCTACTTGTGATCTCTCTCCCTCTCACTCTCTGACAAATAAATGAACAAAATCTTTAGAAAAATAAAATAAAATATACAATTCTGTGGTTTTTAGCATGTTCAGTGTGCAACATCGCCATTGTCAACTTTAGAACACTTTCCTCAGCTGGCAAAGAAAACTGATATCTTCAGCTGTCACCTTCTATCCCACCCCCCACCAACCCTTACCCCCTGGCCCTAAGGAACCTCTCATACTCTTTCTGTTCCTATAGGTTTGCCTATTCTGGATGTTTCACGTGGAATCATACCACGTCTTTTGTGACGCGCTCCTTTCACAGAATGCGGTGGCGGGGCCGCTGCGACTGGGGACGCCGAAGCTCAGAGAGTTTGAGTGGGTCGCCAATAAACAGTAAAAAATAAACAAACAAGCAGACAACGATTCCCCTTGTCTGCAAGGTCATGTGTTCTCTCCCGTCTCCAGGTCCCAAGCCGCCTCAACCGTGAAATCAAGAGCTCCCCTCCCAGACCTTCTCCTCGGCCTGGAAGCTTCTTGCAGGCGGGCAGCGCAGCTGGACCAGGACACCCTGTGTCTCCGGTCCTCCACCGACGGCACTGAACTGATGCTGCTGCGCCTGGAAGGGGATCCGGGCCCAGCCATATCCCCAGGCAGAACCTTCTAGACCCCACCCACACGCGGCTCTGGACAGCAGGCCAGGTGGGCAGGACCCCTGTTCTCCCTTCTTGGACCCATCTGTCTTTCACTTCCCTCAGCTTCTGCCTGTGGAGCCTGTCGTCTCTCCATGCACTTTTCTCTTTTGATCTCGGGGGTGTTCTGTCCCAGCTCCTTGCCTGCCCCTACTTTTTTACTTTCTTCCCTCTGTTTCCTTTGCGGACCTCAGCGCTGCTCCCCCCGTTGCTTTCTGGCTCTGTGGAAACCCTCCCCTCGCCCGTGGGAGCCTTCCTCAGTGCGGTGTCAGCCTGTAACGGAGGCGGGCTGTGGCCCGGCCCTGCTGCATGCCGGCTGCACAGACCACGGGAGGAAGGGGACCCCGCAGGACAGGGAGGTGGGCTGCTAAGGCCCTGGGCTCTAGACACGGGGGAGCTGGGCTCCCAGTGGTCACGTGGGGCTGTGGGTGATGGTGGCCTCTTCCTGGGACATTGGGCAGGCCGGCCCGGTTCGCCGCTGTCAGCGGCCGGCACAGGGCTCAGCCCTGAGGAAGTGCCCACCCACAGAGCCTTCACTGGCTCCCGGGAGACGCACGATGGAGCAAAGAAAGATGACTCACTTTCCCACTCTCAGCTTGTCTGAGCCTCAGGGCAGGCAAGCTAGGGAAGACCCCCAGAGTCTGTGATGCCTTCCCGTCAGTGCCCAGCTGAGTCTCATCTCAAGTTCACACAGAGAAGACCAGTCCTCTTTCTGAGGGAAAAAAGATGAGTGGGGTAAGGGGACTGGGATGGCCAGAGTACCTGGGAGCCTCCTCCAGCCCTTCCAGAAACGCACAACGGCTGCCTCCCTGACTGCCGAGAACCACCTCCTTGCTCGGGAGGCTCTGGGCGGGCTCAGGACGGGATCCCAGGCCCCGCTCCTCCCTTCCCTTTCTGCCAGTTCCCGCCCCTCTCTGGGCCTCAGTGTCCCTATCTGGGCAGTGGAAAGTTTGACTATCTAAGGCTGTGCCGGCCCAGAGACACCAAGGGTCCTTGTGTGAGTGAGTGTGTCCCTTCCCCATGCGCCTGGGGCGGGGGGTGGGGGGACGCTAGCCCAGCCGTCTACAAGAAAATTGCTCCCTTTGAAGCTTCCAGGGGGGCCTGGAGGCCTGCCCCCTCCCTCCCTTCTTCCCTCCCTCTCTCCTTCCCTCTCCGCCCCACCAGCCCCCTCCCTCTTTTCCTCCCTCCCCGCCCCCTCCTGCTGTTGTCCCCTCCCTGTCAGCCAGCCCGCCCAGCCTTTAGCCTCCCTCCCACTGCCTCTGTCTCCCTCTCTCCACAAACTGCCCGGGAGTGAGCAGCCGCTCTCGGAGGGCGCAACAGAGACGGACAGACGCACTTACTGCCTGACAGCCAAGCCTGCCAACTAGCCAGCTTGTGCCCGGCCGCTTGTCCTCCCCAGGTAGGGCCCCCACGCCATTGTCCCTGCTGTCCCCTCCTTGTCTCATCCCTGGTTCCACTGCCCTCTCACCATCCTGGAGATGTCCCCTGTCCCTACGGCCCCCACACCACCCCTCCACATCCCTACCCTTGTCCCTGTCACCCACTTACCTCCCTCCCCTACTCCCAGGCTGCCTGCGGTCCCCACAATTCCCACGCCAATGCTGTAGGCTCCTGGCCCACACCACTTTGTCGCTGCCCTGCGGCTCCCTTAGTCCTTGCCCCTTTCTGCATTTTCTGCCCCCCTTTCCTCTCCCTTCTGGCCTCACTCAGCAACACTGCCTGCCTTGCCTGCCTGCCCCCCCCTGCCTCCTTGGGTTCTTCCCCCTTGATTGCCCGCCCTCCCAGAGCATGGCCCTGGCATGGCTGGGTGGCTGGCATCCCAGCTCTGCCAGTAGCCCTCTTCCTCCACTGAGAGTCCCTGAGTCCCCGAGAGCTCCCTGCACTTCGGCAGCCGGCCCTGCCCAGGACTAGTCCTCGGTGTGGGCTCACAGACTTGGTTTCCCCGGCACACTCCAGGCAGCCTAACCCACAGGCCAATTCCCTTCCTCCACCTCCTCCTGAGTGAGGGGTGGGTCCACATGGCCCTGACCACAGGGTCCCTGGGTGTGGCTGGCTTGGTGGCTCTGTTCTGCCTGTCCCCAGGACCCTCTTGGATTGAAACTCAGAATGGGGTGGGGGTGGGGGTAGGCGGAGAGAAACTCAGGCAACTGGGCCATGTTAGCCTGGGCAGGCCTGGCTTGGGGCCCTGGAGGGCTTCTGGGGACCCTGGGGAGGGGTGAGGCCACAGGTCCACTTCCAAACTCAGACATCGTTGTCCCAGCATGGGTGCCTTTAAGGATCAGTGAGGTTCAAGAGCTCTGTCCCCCAAAAGCAGCCCCACAGACTGGTGCATGGGGCCACTCCAGATTGGAGGGAGAGCCCCAGGTAGGAAGCAAAAGCGTGGCTGCAGGGTTGCTCCCAAAGTGCTTTGGGAGGAAAGGAGTAGCCCCTGCTGGTCTCACTCCCACACCCTCCAATGTACAAAGGGGACAAGTGAGGCTCAGAGACAGGCAGGAACCTGCGCACAATTGCACAGCAAGTCCGACACAAAGCTGGGGCCAGGACCCAGGGCTCCTGATTGACAAGCCCTGGCAATCGACGCTGTACCGCCCAGGGAAGCCTCACTTGGGCACTGATAATGACAACCTGCGGCCAACTGCATGGCACGGGGATTGGAGTGGGAGGTGACGGGGCCACTGGTCCCTGACCTGCAAGTTCCCAAGATGGCTGGCACGTTGAAGGGACTGCCAAGTGACCCAGGAGAGGAGCAAGGCAGAAGAGAGCTCTGTGCACGTGTCACCAAGTGCCCTGGAGGGTTGGGGGATGGGAGCACCCCCCTCAGGGCTCTGAGGGTGGGGCTGCGGCTCGGGCACTGGTCCATCAGGGCTGCCCAGGACGGTCCTGCGGAGGGGAGCAGGAGGCCCAGGGTACTCTAGGGCAGGGTGGTGGGTTAGGCAGTGCAGATCTTCAGGCCAGGGAAACTCTTCTCGAACCATGTTTGTTAAGGGCCACTCTGGTCGCAGATATGGCCAGTCCTGTCCTCAGCACGCTCCTGTCTCCACGCCCTCCACCCTGTAGAGACTGACCGGCGTTGAGACAGGCTGGAGATGCTCAGGCCTCCCTCAGTGCCAAGGAAGTTTCCCGGGGAGGTCCCTGCAGGGCCAGGGCTGGTGTGGAAAGAGAAGGCGCGGGCCGCCGCGACCACGCAGGGGAGTGCCTCCTGGACACATGCAGCTGCCGGGGCCTTCCGCTCCCTGAGACACAGGCTGCCCTGACAGAGGCCCCTTCATGTGAAAGCCGCCCATGTCTGGCTATGGCGGGGCAGTGCGGGGTAGCCCTGCGGGGAGGGACGGTGGGGGTGCATTGAAAGGAAGGCACCGCACTGGACGGCGAGAGCAGACTGAGAGCCTGCCCCCCACCCGCCCACTGGCCTGCCTTTAAGCCCTAAAAACCCAGGTCACAGTGGGCATTAATCATCCCACCGCTTTTGTGCCTTGCCCTGGAGCAGAGACCCGTGTGCCCGTGTTGTACATGGGGAGCCTGAAGCCCAGCTTTTTCACTGATGGGCTGGGGACAGTTCTGGGCAGGCTCATTTCAGGGGCCCAGAAAGTTGGCCTGCCAGTCCTCTGACCAAATTTCTTCCCCATCCTACCAGTGGCCCTGGCCCGCTGGAGGAGCATAAACGAGGAAGGCCAGGAGGAAAGGGGGTGTTTGAGAGACCCCAGGGCGTCCAATCCAGCGCCAGTGCCAAGTCCCCACAAGAGGGCAGAACCTTTCAATAGGGCCTCCCATCTCTCCCAGCTCCCCTGCTTCCTGGGCCCCCCACTGCCATCCCTCTTTCACTCCCTGGAGAAGCCCTGTGGAGACAGCACAGCACAGGACAGGACTGTCCCAGCGGTCACTTGTCCTTACCTGTCTGGGGACACAGTTGTGGCATGACAGAGTAGCAGTCTCCCAGGAGGCCCCTGGGGCACACAAGCAGCAGGCAATGGCCCAGGTGGCGTCCACCCTGCCCCCATTCCCCCCGCCCCGCCCGCAGATGGTCCCAGCCCCAGCCTCAGGGCCTCTGAAGCCTCATCTGCTGAGCGGCTGGGTCGTTTGTCTTGCACGTCTCTGGGGACCTTCCAGCACCCCTGATTGTAAGAAACATCTTCCCACCCCCACCACAACTCCCTCCCCACCCTCCTCATCAGTCACCCCAGGGTAAGAGAGCTTGATCTCTGCCCGGACCTGCCTTCTGCCACACCTGTTGGCCCCAATGGTGCGAGGGGACACACCAGCCCAAGGGTTTGGCTCAAATTGAGGGACGGGAGGAGTGATGGTGGCTCTCCCAGGCACCCTCCTTGTGAGCCGTGGAGTTGTGGGGGCGGGGTGTGAGCAAGAGCTCCCCCTAAAGGCAGGGTCCTGGCGGCTTTGCCCCCTCCTGTCAGCTGACCCCGGTGTCAATCAGTACCCCACCCCTCCATCCTGTTCTCTTCTGCTCAGACACTGGGGCCCACAGGACGCCTTCTGTAAATCCCACCTTAGAGGGAGGCAGTAAGGGGCCTGCCCGCAGGGGAGCTGCACTGGGGGAATGGGGAGGGTGTCTGCTCGGTCCTGCTCCCCAGGGCCTGAGACCCATTAAGGCTCACTGGCCAGCCCTGTGGTCAGGCCAGTCTCCCAGTGGCCCCTGGGGTGGGCGTGGGGCGGGGACCTAGGGGCCACCTCCTCTAGGGGGTGGGTGGCTGGGATTCATCCCCCTCACCTGGAGCCCTCAGCCCGAGAGCCCTCCCCCCCACCCCGTCAGGGCCTCCTTCACCGCCTCTGGGATTCCAGGCTCCTGGGAGCCGCCCCAGAGCCACCCCATTTGGCTTCTGCTGTCCCCACCAACCGCCCTGCTCTGGATCGGGGCCGTCCACAGGGTGGCCGTGGAGGATGCCTTCTCGCCTGGGGCCCAGCAGCCTCAGTTCCCACAGCAGCCTACAGAGCAACATCATGGCTTTCTGGCATTCCGGAGGAGCCAGGACACAGATGACTCAGCAGCCCCTCCCTGTGGTAACACATCTCTCGGCTTTAAGGGGCCGGGGTCTCTACCCAGTCTCCTAGCTAGGGCTCAAGGCCAGAATCCGCAAACATCAGCCTGGGGCCGAGCTGCAGGGCTCCCCCGTTTCTCTCCCACCATCTGCCCCTTGACAGACAGCTGGATGGCCAAGTGGAACACAGCATCTACCAGCCTAAGTGGCTACAGGATTTGGGATTTGGGGAACAGAAGCAGGACTTGAAGGAGAGAGACAGAGGGCAGCCCTACTCCCAGGAGACCGGAGGCCAGCGTGACTCTGAGCTCCTTGCAGCCTGAGTCCCCACTCGCCCTTGATTATGGTCCACCAGGGCCTCGGAGGCCTCCTGGCCGAACGGAGGTGTGCACGGGGGGAGCCCCTGGAGGGGCCTCCTGGGCCAACTACAGACATCTGGCTCCCACCCCCAGCCAGATCCCCTGGAGGAGAACAAGGAACCCGATGCAGGGAAGGGGCTGCCAGAAACCCTGGGAGGGAAGGACCTCACTTGGCCTGGCCCAGCCAGGGAGCAAGGCAGGTGGGACGCCAGGCTCTGGGAACCAGGCTGAGAACCTCTCCCTGTGGGGTCTGGTGCCTAATGGGACAGAAAATGCTCCAGGGGAGCTCTCCGGCCTGGCTGGGACGATGGCTTTTCCATGCCCCTGCAGACCTGGAGCAAGCGCCCAGTGGCTGTGCTGGGGCCACGGAGGGGCGGCTGGCCCTGCACACGGTGGGGAGCTACCGCTGGTGGCAGTGAGAGAGAGGCCAGAGGGTTCATGGGGTGGCAAGCAAGGGGACAAAGGGCCCACAGAACAGGGCTCAGCTTTCCCGCAGCATCACCTCCCAGTTCAGCTGAGGGAGCTGCTCGGGAGTCTTTTCCAGGGGCCCAGAGGCTGATCCAGCGCCCTGCACAGCCTAGGGAGTACAGGGTCTTATGGCTTTGGGACCTGTGGCACAGCCGCCAATGACAGAGGATGGGGCCAGGCACATGGGCAGGTAGACAGACAGACTGACAGTGAAGTCCAGTTCCACCATTTCCTTACTGAGTGACCTTGGGCAAGAGTTTTGGGCAAAGTCTGAGCCTCAGTTTACCTATTCACCAACTGGTAAAAACACCGCTTTCTTCTTTTGGTCTTTTGGGGCGGGGGGGTGGTTTGTTAAGAGATCATTTAAATCCCCCACCCCATTTCCAGGAGATGATAGCATCCACCTTCTTCCTCAAACAATCCAGAACACGCTGAGGAGGAACTCAGGGTCTCTTCAGTGAGTGGGAGGAGAAGGAAGGACACCTGCGAGAGGACCGGGGAACTCAGGACCCTCAGCTGACCTGGGTCCCCTGCTGCCTGGCTCCTGGCTAGCAGTTTGACCCTCCTGCTTTCCAGAGGTTTCCTCTGCAGAGTGGGGGAGGGATGGATGGCTTTCCTGAATACCGAGGGGAGAGAGGTCTGGCGCGCCAGCGCCGGCCCCCCTGCCGGCTCCCCGGGACCAGCCCCCTGCAGCCTATGGACCGGCTCCCTGCTGAGTCCTGGCACTGGCAGGTCGGAGCTCTCCCCGACGGCTGACAGAGCCCGGGGCCCACCGCACGTCCAGTCCCCCGGGGAGGCCAGGGCCATGGCAGGAAGGAACAGATACAGACGACGTGGGGCTCAGGGCCTGCCCCCTCCCCACTCCAGCCACGAGCCCCTCACACGGTCACCCCCTCACACGCACACCCCTGCATAAGCTTCAGCAGACCCACGGGGGGGCACATGTCCCCTCTCTCTGCTTGGCACCCAAGTGAAGAGGGTCGGTGGGGCCCAGGAGGGTGGCAAGGAGCAGCTGGGAATGTAGCCTGTTGTTTGAAGCTGGTCCCTGAGGGCTTTGGTGGACAGAGGAAGGGGGATACCCTGTGCTGCCTGTCCCCCTCCCACCCCTCTGCATCCACATAGTCCGAGGGCTTTGGCAGGGCTAGGTAGACGGTGGTGTGCACACCAGAGTTCAGGTCGGGTAGCTCAGTGGGGCCAGACGCCCTGGGCTGAGGTCTCGGGACGGTGTCCGGCGTCCGCGACTTGGCAGCGGCCGGCCACACACCAGACCTTAAGCCCTGCTCCCGCCACCCTTGGCCTGGCTTGAATGCCTGGCACAGCCCCTCCATGTTCTCAGAGGCTGCCAATGCGTCGTGTTTGGCATTGACCGGGAGCCCCGCTCGGAGGACTGCGCTGGCTTTCAGAGGGCTAGACAAGGAAGGCCCTATGGCTCTGGCGGCGCGGGCTCCGGGAAGCCCAGCCTTTTCCCTTGCTCACACCTGTGGGCACCGGGCCGGAGGCCTCATGGCCATGACCACTTCTTTCCTCTGCTCGGAGGGGGGAGGGGTCCAGCAAGCTCCAAGCACGCTTCGATGGCGCTCGAGGCCTGCCGTGAAGTCCTCCGGGACACCCCCTCAGGTCCACTGTCCAGCCAGCCCCCTCCTCCCTGGGTGACTCTACCCGCTACATCTGCTGCCAGCTCCCGGAGTGGAAATGAGGCTCTGCTGGGAAGCCTGTCCAGCCCCGACCCTGCCAGCCTGTCCACGGCCTGGGCCCGGGAGCGGGTGGTGGGAGAGTCAGCCCCACCTTGTCCTCAGCCCCTGTCATAGGGCCCCCAGTGGAGGGCCTCCAAGCCCTCAGCTTTGGGCTCTCCCACCACAATCGAGGCCGTGCGGGAGCCCAGGGCCGCAGCTCCGTGTCTCCATGGCCCCCAGACACAGTGACATCAGGCATAGCTGGTCTGAGCTGATTCTTCTCCTCTACAGCCCCCGTCCCCCTGGGACAGGTCCCAGGAGCCCATGTGGAGCCGGGGTGGCCAGCTTCCCTGGATGGCCTCCCCAGTGCCGTCCATCCTCTAGTCTGGCGGGAGGGCCAGATATGGGGGCTGAGATTCCCTGCAGAGACCCCCCCCAGCCCTCCCCAGCCCTCCCCAGCCCTGACAGGCCACCTCTTCCCACAGCCTCCCTGCTCCTGGCCAGACCACCCCAGCCACCCCCACCTATCCAGGTGAACTGTGGCTCCCAAGGCCTTCCAAGTCTCCCACTGGGCGGTCCAGCCCTGACTCATCCCGCCTGTGAGGTAGCGGCTTTGGCAGGGGTGCCAGGCAAGAAGGGAGCAATCTCCTCCCTCTCTCCCATTCCATCTTGCTCTCCTGCCTCCATCCTCCCCTTCCTGTTCTCTCCCACCACTCCTCCTCCTCCCAGCTCTGGGCGTCCAGTGTCTCCCAGGCGAGGGCCCCAAGCAGCGGCCCAGGCCTACCCTGCTCTGCCCTGGAGGTCGCAGAATCAGGGGAAGAAGGAGGGACACACTGCCCAGGTAGGCAAGCACAGGGCCTTCTCCCTACTTGGTCCCGTGACCTTCTGGGGGCTCCCCTGGGTCCTGCCTGGCCAGTCTGGGGCTGGCAGAACCTGGGGTATGATCGTGGGGTGTGGGGGCTTGAAGGAGATAGGCATACTGGGTGCTCCCCCTGGACATGGGGGTCCTTACTTTGCTGTGTGACCTGGGACAGGCACGCAGCTTCTCTGAGCTTGTCACTGCGGGCCACACTCAGGAGGGCTGTTGGGAGCTACTAGGGGTGCTCTGGGGCTGGCTGTCCAGCTGAGTCCACTGAACCATGTCCTGGGTCCGTGACCTCCACCAGCCAAGCACACCGCAGCCCTGGGTGCCAGAAAGGCTGTTGCATACTCTCCTGCTCTGTCCTCGGGAACGGTGGGAGCCAGGGCAAGCTCCATGACCCACCGAGGGGATGCCTGAGTGTGAAAGGGGGTGGCAAGACTGGGCTGGATGGGAACCTGGAGCATAGAGCAGTTGTGTCCAGACCCAGAAGTGGTGCTAGACCCCTGGCCTGCTGGTCGGGAAGGTTCCAGGGCAGGGGGGGTGGGCAGCCTACATCAGCCAGCCTAGCCCCACACCAGCTGGGCTGGCCCAGGAATGCAGCAGGCAGGGTCCTCCACTCCCTGGGGACCCCTTCCACGTTTCCACCCAGTAGGGAGGCTCAGGGGTCACCCAGCCCCACTGAAGACCCTCACAGCCCCTCCCCTATCCAAAATGGGCCCCAAGTGAGGAGGGTCCCCCTGGAGTGGGGCCCGGTGTGGGTCTGCAAGGAGCCCCTGGAACCTGGCCAGTCTCACCGCCCACAGATGCCCCCAGAACAACCGCAGACACCAGAGTCTGGGAGGGAAGCAGGGCAGGCCCACTTGTGCCTGTGTAACAAACAGGGAGATTAGGCTGCTGGGACTGTCCCGGGAGGTCTGGGTAGGTGAGGCTGGTGGGACCTTCCCACAGGGGGCCGCTGCATGGGAGAAGGAAGGAGGTGGGTAAAGACGGGCACCTGGGGCAGGTTTGGGCAGGACAGCTTCCCCCTCACGCCCACCCCGCTGCCCAGCCTGGGGGAGCCTTCAGACAAGCCTGAGCCCGCCTGCCACCTTGGCAGGAGCCTGGTCCCCTCTGGGGGCCTCTCCGGGGGGCTGGGCCACGGGCAGAAGGCAGGCAGGAGCTAAGTGCGAGCCCTGGGGCTCTGCAGGCCAAGCCAGGTGAAGTGTTGGGGGCCAGGAGAAGGTGCCGAAGCCCTGGGGAGCAACAGGGAGGGTGGTGGGGCCGTGCCCCCTCCCCTCAGTGACTTTGCCCCTGTTCTCTCTCTCTCCCCCCACCGCACTGCCTCCAGGGCTAGCCCGGCTCTCAGCCCCGCGTGCCCAGCCTGGTGTCTTGGCCTCTTGACTTTTCTTCGAAAAATGTGGGTGTGCTGCAAGGGGGAGCTCAGGCAGGGAAGGAAGTGACTCACGGTGGTCTAGCTCAGTGCTGACTGCGCCCACATCGTCCTGAGCCACAATTCAAACCCAAATTCTTCAAGGCCAGTATGGGGCGAAGAGTTAGTTGCCTTTCTGCCCTCCGTCCGCCTCCTCCACTCCGTTTGTTCCCCTCACTGACCAACCCACCCTGGGGCAGACTGCCAGCTGACTCAGTGGTGTGTGGGGGACAGCGGGGGAGGGGGCCAGCGCTGCCAACTCACCGACTGGCAAGACGATGCATCGCCCATGAAAGCCAGCATCCTGCCTGGGATCAGAGGAGAGCAGAAGGAGGGGTCCCTGCCTGCCCACATCCGCTCCCTCTGCTGCCCCCTTTCCTGCCGCTCCTACCTTGAGGTCCGTGAAACCTAGGCTGCTGGTGTTTGGAGGTTTGCCGGGACAGGGCCCGGAGAGCAGGTACGAGTGCCGAGTGCCAGCTGGGCCCTCCTGACAGCCCCTTCCTCCTCCCAGGCATGCCCACCATGCTGCCTCTGTGGCTCCTGGCATCCTTGCTGGCCATGAGCCAGGCCCTTCCCTTCGAGCAGAAGGGTTTCTGGGACTTCACCCTGGACGACGGGCTGCCCATGCTGAATGATGAAGAGGCTTCAGGTGCTGAGACCACATCAGGGGTCCCGGACCTGGACTCCCTCACGCCCACCTTCAGCGCCATGTGTCCCTTCGGCTGCCACTGCCACCTGCGGGTTGTTCAGTGCTCTGACCTGGGTCAGTCCCGGGACCAGGGGGAACGGGTGCATGAAGGCGCAGGCCCAGCCTGAGTGCCCCACTGAGGAGACACGGGTCCGTCCTGTGGGAGGAGCCTGAGAGGGTGGGGTCCGGGATGGGGTGAGCCCACACCGGCGTGGGGATCCTTGTTTCCACGTGGAATGGTGTCCATCTGTCTGGCTGCAGGTGCATGGGGAGTGAGAAGGGCCTTCCTCTGTGGCAGAGCCCCTGCGCGCGTGTCTGTGTGCATGTGTGTGAGTGCGTGTCCCCGTGCTCAGAGTCACTCACGCGGGCGACGGTGGCCCTGGCCCCCAGGTCTGAAGGCTGTGCCCAAGGAGATCTCACCCGACACGACGCTGCTGGACCTGCAGAACAATGACATCTCCGAACTTCGCAGGGATGATTTCAAAGGCCTCCAGCACCTCTATGTAAGCCCGGCCCAGCCCTGAGGGGCTTCGAGGAGGTGGACCGTCTTCCCCTAACGAGTTGGGTGCTTGTGGGTGTGTGCACGCATGTGTGCAGTGCGAGAGGGGCCTGGGGGCCCATGGAGTCCTGCGAGAAGTCTGCACAGCTGCAGGTCCCAGGTCGCCCTCGAAGATGTCAACAGCCGTAGCAGCCATAAGCCCAGGGCAGAATTGCTCAGCCCGGTTCCCTTCGCGGCTGAAAACTTTCCGTTGTATCGGGGCATCGCAGCAACCCGAGAGGGACAGATTTCGTCATAGCCAGGATGCAAGTAGGGAAGTTGAGGCTCAAAGAAGGGGGATGCCGTGCGAGGCAGGAATGGCACAGCCGGGCCTGGGGGACCTCCTCGAGGCTGCACTGGCAGCCCCCACTGATCACCAGCCCAGGGTGGGTAGGCAAGGGAGGGAGAAAGTGAGGAGGGCGGGGCGTGGGGGGGGTCACGGGCACCTTCACTCGCCACACCCTCCCCGTCCCAGGCTCTCGTCCTGGTGAACAACAAGATCTCCAAAATCCACGAGAAGGCCTTCGGCCCCCTGCGGAAGCTGCAGAAGCTCTACATCTCCAAGAATCACCTGGTGGAGATCCCTCCCAACCTGCCCAGCTCGCTGGTGGAGCTCCGGATCCATGACAACCGCATCCGCAAGGTGCCCAAGGGCGTGTTCAGCGGGCTGCGCCACATGAACTGCATAGGTGAGTGCGGCCGGCAGGGGGCGCTCGCGACAGGGCCTCTTGCAGCTGGGGCGGCTCGGTGCCCCGGGCAAGCCTGGCGGGCCTCCCAGAACATTCTGAGAGCCTGCCCCGGGGCTGCCTCAGCAAGATGAAGAGAAACCTAGGGACCATAGAGAGAGGGAAGGAAAAGGGCCAGCCAGCTGGGGACCATCTGGGACCCAGCCAGAAGAGCTAAGCAGGCTGGGGTGGAGCCCCACCTTGACCTCTGGCTCCCCTCCCTTTCCTACTGCTTCCCCTACCCCCGGAGGCCTTGCCCCTACCTCCCAGCACCCTTGGGAGCTAATGGTCTTGAACAGTTAGGAGTCTGCAATCAGCCCAGTAAGGTAGCAGAGCTGTTTTCAGGGGCAACTGGGGAACCAGGGCCCATCGGGCCAGCCCAAGCCAGGAAGCCCACAGGACCTGGAGCTATGCGGGCGGCCACCCAGATCCGGCACCAGGGCTGAGCAGGGCCTCTCTCCTAGAGATGGGCGGGAACCCCCTGGAAAACAGTGGCTTTGAGCCCGGAGCCTTCGATGGCCTAAAACTCAACTACCTTCGCATCTCTGAGGCCAAGCTCACCGGCATCCCCAAAGGTAGGAAGGTGGCCCCTTTCCCCCACACTGTCAGGCCTCCATGGCACAGATGGGCACGGATGGGGGGCGGGGTGCTGGAGACGTCTGGAACCATCAGTCAACTCAGGGAGGGCTTTGGTAGTCCTGTGCTCGAGTCTGCCCCCCACCCACATACAGACCAGGCCACACACGTGGCCTCCCCTCCTGCACTCCATCAGAGCACCCTCTCTTCCTGGCAGATCTCCCCGAGACCCTGAATGAGCTGCATCTGGACCACAACAGAATCCAGGCCATCGAGCTGGAGGATCTGCTCCGCTACTCCAAGCTGTACAGGTGTGCCGGGGGTCCAAGCGGGGCGCGCCGCCCCCTGCTCTTTTCGCCTCTACCCTTTGGTGCATCTCGCCTGCCCTCCGCAGATTGGGCCTGGGCCACAACCAGATCCGCATGATCGAGAACGGCAGCCTAAGCTTCCTGCCCACCCTGCGGGAGCTGCACTTGGACAACAACAAGCTGTCCAAGGTGCCCTCTGGCCTTCCGGACCTCAAGCTCCTCCAGGTGAGTGTGTCAGCCCCCGCACCAGCTGCTGTAAGACAGCATGGCTTAGACCTTGCTGTGGTCTGGCCAGCTCCTCCCGCTCTCTCTGCCTCCACCTCCGCATCTGGAAAGAAGCAATCGCAAGGATCCGTGCCGAGGAAGGAGGGAAGGCGAGCGGGGACTCCACTGTGGATGGCAGGGAGGGCAGGTCATGGGCGGAGAGGTGTGAGGCGTGAGCAGGAGTTGGCCTGATAAATATTGTAGCTCAAGTGTTCCTAGGTGGGTGGGACACCAGAAAGGCATGGCAGAGCCTGGGAGGTCAGGGGACAGTCTGGCCATGGGAGGTGGACAGATTTGTGGCAAGATAGGTTCAGCTCGGGGCAGGATATAGACTGATGGGGGAGGTGCAGGGTCTTGCCTGGGGTTCTTTCAGGGACCCCTGTCCCTGGCTTGGCTTCCAGTCTCTTCCTCGGCCCATTCACACTCTCCAGGACACCTGTCATTCTCACAGGCTATGCAGCCAGAGCCAAGTCCCAGACCAGCCCTGCCCGGGTGAGGGCGTGGGAGACGGGTCAGCCCAGAAGCAGCCGCAGGGAGGCCCAGGCCCGGCTAAGCGCGCCCTCTAGCGGCCGGTGTCCTCTCTGCCTCTAGAGGGCGCAGTTGCAGTGTGAGCGCCTCACCACCGTCCTGGCGTTCCCTACCCGCTCACGCCCCCTGCTTCCTCTGTCCCTCCGCTAGAGAGGGACTTCAGGAAGTTAAGGGCTGCTAAAAAGCAAGCACCCCTGGGTACTGGAAGGAAGAGGAGGTCATCTGCTAGCTCTTTCTCCTCTCACACCTATGGGTCTCTGAAGGGAGAGGCTGCTGCCCAGAGCCAGGCCTGGAGTTTGGGAAACTCGGAGAGAGGGCCAGAGACCATCCATGAGCCCAAGGAGCCATCTTCCCTGCATGGAGACTCACACCCCCAGGTCCCTCACTTCCCACCCACCACACACCACGTCTGGGTCCCTCGTTCCAGCCCCCGGTCACACACCAGTACCTGAAATTCCCCCCACACACCACCTGACACCCATACCCAGGCCTTGGTTTGCTGCCCCCAGCCTTGGAAGAGTCACATTCTGGCCCTCAAAAGGGCAAGCACTACAATGAAAGCACCCCCAAGGGGTGGCCAGGTGGGACCCAGCTGGGAGGGAGGGCCCAAGCCTTCTGTTATCTACCCTCGACGTGGCCCAGCCAGGCTGGACCAGATTCCAAGCGCCGTGGTGGTAGGGGGCGGGGGGGGGGTGAATCCTCCGCCCTGGCACTGGGCCTGAGCCACGTCCCTCTGCCCCCAGGTGGTCTATCTGCACACCAACAACATCACCAAGGTGGGCGTCAATGACTTCTGCCCCGTGGGCTTCGGAGTCAAGCGGGCCTACTACAACGGCATCAGCCTCTTCAATAACCCTGTGCCCTACTGGGAGGTGCAGCCGGCCACTTTCCGCTGTGTCACTGACCGCCTGGCCATCCAGTTCGGCAACTACAAAAAGTAGGAGCAGCCAGCAACCGCCGTGGTGGCCTGGGCGGGGTCTCTAGAGAGCCCAGCGGACATCCTGAAGGGGAGGGCAGAGCGAAGGAGCAAAGTCAGTGCCCAGCTGCACCCACTCCAGCCCCGCCCTCGATCCTGGACCCCAGCTCGCTGCCTCCCAACGCCCTTATCCTGGCTCCCAAGCATGCAGATGGGGCACAAGACCCAGCCTCCATCACATGTCTCCAGCTTCACAGCTGTCCCTGCCCCCGCACCCCCAGCATAGCCACTCAGAGGCACCCTCATAAAGCTCTCTTCCCACTCACCATGAAATCAAACTGCCCAAGGCTCCAGCCCAAGAGAAACGGGCCCTGGGTCAAGGGGCCGGGAAGGGGCTAACAAGGATGGAGACAGCCCACCCCATCCGCCTGGGACACATTCCTCCTCATGTACTTCCAGCTTCCTGGGCCTGGCCTGCTACCCTGGGCCTCCCATGCCCCCCCAACCCTTCTGCAAGACCATGGCCCATTCATCCAGGCCTCCTTGCCCTACTGGCCTCTAGACCAGTATTTGCTTCTCTGGCACTCTGGCTCTTTCTCCCCCTCTTTCTGTCTCCATCTGTCTCTCTCAGCCTCGCTCTCCTCTCTCACATCTCTGAGCTGGGTCGGTGTCTGTCTCGCTGGGCTTCTGCCCAGCCCCTACCCAGGCAAGCTAGGGGACAGAGGGCAGCTGCCTCCCAGCCTGCCCTGCCCAGGCCTTGAGCCCAAGTCTGGACAGTCCTGGAGGGGACCAGCTGCTGGAGGTGATGCACCCCGCATACACCCCATAGTCTGAAGGGGAGCATTGGCCCTGGCAAGGGCCTGGCATCCTACTGGAGCCCCAGCCAACTGTCCTTGTCCCTCTTTCCCCCCATGACAGCTAGTTGTCCCCTCCCTTCGCCTTCCGGCCCCCTGGTACGGTGGGGCTGCTTCTGAGGTCGGTTGTTGTCTTTCAATTAAAGAAACACTGTGCAGTATGGCTCTGTGTGCTGCCACTCATGGGGTGGCCCTGGGGACTGGGCAGAGAGGGGAGAGCCACAATGGGCCATGGTGGCTGGCTCCCAGACTCTGCCCCTCTGTGCCCACTCTGAGCTGCGGGCTTCTTCTCTGTTGCTCTCCCTGCCCGCAGGCGAGAGTCCTCAGTGCCTCCAGATCTGACACTGGACAAGGGGGCCCCTTCCGCTTCCTTCGAGGTGCTTCCGTTGCCCTAGCTGTCCTTAGACGGGGCTCCTAAAGCAGGCCCGGCTGAGGGAGACTCTGCCCTTCCGGAGCAGAGCATTTGCCAAGCACCTGCCATCTTCAGAGCCCCAGATTAGACCGTCACTCTGAGAGGGGGCCTGGAGATCCCAGGGGCCCTGCCAGCCTATCCTGATAGGATCTGGGGGCTCAGAACCATGCGAGATCCAGGCTATCAAAAATTGTGCACAGCACCCAAGTCAGCACCAGGGGGCGCCACCTGGCAGGACAGGCCTCAGAGACCAGGCAGCAAGCTGGGCTTGCCCACCCGCGCTGGCCTGGCCTGGGTCCCAAGCAGAGCCTCCCCCACGGCGGGTCCCACTGGGTGCCGGCAGAGCCAGGCCCAGGTTGCCACGCTCTGTCACTGGCTCCCAGGAAAGCATCCAGGACGGAGCCTGAGAAAGGGCAGCATGGGCAGAAAGGGCAGCATGGGCCTGTGAGGAACCATCCCCGGAGCAGCGTGCCCTCCGACGGCAAGGCCGGCAGACGGACGTGGCGGCAGGCTAGAGCCTGCTGCTCGTCCTCCGTTCCCCACAAGGGGCCCTGGCCTCAGGCAGTGGGGGCCGGGGCTTTCCCGGGCAGCCAGAGGCCGCCGATGAAAATAGAGCAGGCAGGGCCCATGAGGAGTGCCAGCCCAGGAGAGAAGGAGCTCAGAGGCTCCACGTGCTGGCTCCAAGCACAGAGCTGCATGCCCTTCCGCCTGGCCTGGCACCAGGGTGCCCGGCGTCCCTGAGTTTCCCCTTTTGGGGACAGGAGGCGCCGCTCAGCATGGTGGCCCCGTGACAGAATGTCAGCCGTCGGCATCATAGCACTATTCTGGGCCATGTGCTCCACAGCCCAGCAATCTCTGCTGAGCTGGGCAGGCTCGGGGCAAGGGCACTGGCCAGGGGCCAGGAGACTGGGCCTCGTCAAGTCCCCTCACTGGCTGGGAAGAGGGACAGCCAGAACTGGGGCCTGGAGGACACAGAGACACGGAGTCCTCAGGCCATTTGCCAGTCTGGGGCACCGAACTGTGTCAGGCAGGTGCCACGCAGCCCCCAGAGACCTCCATCTTCCCTCCCAGCCTTGTGGGTCACCCGGCACAATAGGGGACAGCGCACCCTGCAGGCAGGACCCACACTCTGCCCAAACCGGAGGCCCCCAAGGCACCCAGGGGACAACTTGGGCCCTGCGGCAGGAGCCCAGGGCTGTGAACAGGGCCACACCACAGAAGAGCTGATGAGTCCTGGTTGGAAAACTGTTCCACGCCCACAGCAGTGGGCACAGACCTGGTCTCGCTCCGCTGTCAAGTGTGCTGCAAACTATTAGATGATGGCGACAACGACCATACCCAAGTTGGGACTGCTTGGGCTCAGGAATAAAAGCCAGGGCACCATGAAGATGATCCGGCCTGGTGCCCCAAGAGGGCCCTCCTCGTGGAGCTCGGAGCCTGGCTGCGGTCATAGGGAGACACGGGGTGAGCTACAGGCAGATGGAGGGGCTCAGGGGGTCCAGGTACAGAGCCTCCGCTGTGCCCCCAAAGCCACAGCAACCGAGGGAGGAGGAGCCAGCTTCCAGCCGCTGGACTTGGGGACAGATTGGACGTGGGGTGACAGGCAGCAGGCAGGCTGAGGGTGTGGCACCGCCCCCCCCCCCCCCGCCGGTCCGAGGCCCCTGGAGGAAGAGGAAGGGGCCGCAAGAACAGGACCTGAGGGCCAGGAGACCCCAGGCGCTCTGGGGGTGTGGACGCAGCTCAGAGGACACATCTAAGTGAGAGAGCGAGCCGGGGCAGGCACAGGTGCGCAAGCACACACACAGGCGCACACACAGGTGCACACACACGCACCCACACACAGGCCCTGAAAGTCACGGGAGCAGCTCACTCAGGGAGGGCTGTCCTATGGGGGAGTGGCTGCCAAGGAGCATTCTCAGAGACACGGGGCTGGGGTGGGGGTACATTTCCAAGTACTTACTGTAGGTCAGGCGCCTTCTGGCCGTAGCGGGGCCCAGCTGGAGCCTAAGCTGAATCCATTGCTTCGGTTTAGACAAGTTAGGGCTTGTCGGAGGGGCGGCCCGCCAGGCGTCCCCAGACCATGGCCGGGGATGGGGGCAGGGCACCTCAGAAGGTCAACCCCTCCTTGAAGGACCCCAAGGGGCAGCTGGAGGGGCCGCTCTGAGAACTTGTTCATTCACTTCTGGTCCCCCCTGGGGTCTCCAGGCCCCCTCCCCGTGGGCTCTGGTCTCGGGAGGGCGGGGGCTGAGCGAAGAGGCAAAGCACGGAGCCACAGCGGCCTGCGGCCCTGGAGAGCCAGGGCAGCCCTGACATTGGGGGGGGCCCAGGGCCTGCTGCTAGCCCAGGAGACCGGAGCCTGGTGGCAGGAGCAGTCGTGCCCAAAAGGCCATCTCGCCCTTGCCAGACCTGAGCTGCTCCTGAAAATGAGAGAGGAACTGGGGTAGAAGCTATTGAGACCGAGTGCCTGCAAGGTCCTAGGGGAGGTCTGTGGGCACCCAGGACTTGTTGGGGGCCAGGTCAGGGGCTGATAGGAGATTCCTGGAAAATCAAGGTGTCAGCAGGGCCATGCTCCCTCCAAAAACTCGAGGGGAAGCTCCTTCCCGCTTCTCCCAGCTTCTGGTGGCTCCGGTCCTTCCTCCGCTTCTGGCTACCCCTCCAGGCTCCGCCTGTCTTCACAGGGCTTCCTCCTGTGTGTGTGTGTGTGTGTGTGAGAGAGAGAGAGAGATCTCTTTCTGCCTCTCTCTTATAAGGACACTTGTCACTGCATTTAGGGCCTACCCAGATAATCCGGGATGATCTCTCCATGTCAAGATCCTTAACTTAATCCCACGTGTGTGCGAGGGCATTTCATAGGGCCGCAGGTGTTGGCTGATCTGGGAGGCCCCAGCACGATGGTGGCCCCCAAGACCTTGGAGGAGGGGAGAAGGAAGGGTCTATGCTCTCATTTAGGGAGACAGTGGACACTCAGAAAAGAGAGGGCCCTGGGGCCGGGCCAGGAGTTCCCCTACTTCAAGGCTGGGCTGAGGAATTCCTGTCCCCAGAGGAGACTGTGACAGCCACACCAAAAGTAGCAGGAGGGAGACCAGGCAAGGGGGAGGGGAGGCCGCTGCTGGGCGCAGGAAGAGGGGTGTGGTGAAGTGGTGCCGGTTGGCTGAAGACCTGGGAAAGAAAGCAGGCGGCAGTGGGGGAGGGGGAGCGCTGGAGGCAGGTGACAAGGAGGGGGTGGTCAGTAGGAAGAGGGAGTGTGGGTTCCTTTTATGCAGTGAGTGGGCAGGCTGGAGGGAGACGGGCCTGAGGGCGGGCCTCTTGTTCTTGGCTTTGTTTCTTGGGCCAAGAGCACCTTTGAGACGTCCTGGGTGGAGGCAGCTGACCATGTAAGAGTCAGGCCTGGGGCTCCTGAGGGGGCAGGAAAGGGTACCAGCACAGCGGGGACTAGGTGTGGGGCTGGAGGAAAGGAACAGAGGAGGGTTCAGAGAAGCAGGGAGGTCTGGGCCGCTCAGCCAAACGCCTTCTCCTGCCGCACCCCGGCCCGAGTTGCAGGCCTCCCTGGAGCTGCCCCCTTAGCATTTCAGTACAGGACACAGGCCTTGATGTAAGGAAGAACTTTCTAGAACTTTCTCCCCACCCACCTCTGTGCAGATGGAAAAACCAAGAGGGGCTGGCCAAGGAGCAGAGGCCATTGATGACAGTGGGAGAGTTTCCCTGGCACCCAGGCTCCCTCACATCCCAGGTCTGAGACCTCTCTCTTGACCTCAGGCCACAAGGCTGGGGACCAAGAGTTTTGAACCACAGGAAGGGGGCCATCCCCTCTCCTGGCTCATTAGCTTTTTGGGGATTGCCATTTGCCGGAGACTGGGCATTTTCAGGACACCCCGTGGAGCTGTGGTCCAGTCCCTTCAGCTCTACTGAAGGCCACATACCTTGTTCCTTGGCCAGCTGACTTTGGCCACAGTGGGCCTCATCACAAAGGCGTGTGGCACAGCCAACTCCGGCCCGGGCTAGCCCTTGGCAGTACCCTTAGGAAAGGGGTGAAGGGGTGGTGGTGAGTGTTCCTTGCCTCTGATTTTTCTCCCCTCGACTCATTTCTTCCCTCTGGGTGTTCAAGGGCGACCCCGGCAAGAGGTGGGAGCCGGACGGACTTCACATGATGGCACCAATGCCCCCACGTGGGCAGGAGCCATCGGCGATCAGTAGGTCCCCTGATCCCGAAGGAAGGCGGTGATCCCGTCCCAAGGGAGTCCCAGCTCTTTTCTTCAGCCACTCCTGGGCCTGCGAGTGTGAGACTCTCCCCTCCCACTAAGCACCCATTTCTTCCCCGTTCCTCTCCTCCCCGAGCTGCCAACACATGTCTGCTGACCAATAACTGAACGTTTGCCAGCAGCCCAGGACCTCAGGCCAGGGACCAAAGGACATGCCACCAGGCCAGACTGCAGGAAGCCTGCCACACTGGGCGTGGGGACCCAGCTTGCATCCGTAGGATAGAGGAGGCCATAGGCTCTCAGGCGGTGTTCCCACCACTCAGGGCTCCTCTCCCCTTTTGCGGATGCCCTGGGAGGTGGGCCGGCACCTTAGCTGCACAATGGGCTTCAGGTGGGGTCCGGGGTCGCTCTGAGTGTGGGGCGGCAGGAAGAGCAACTCCAAGACGGTGGGAGGCTCCACAGGCAACGCTGAGCTCGAGAACAGAAGCTTCGGCTCTGGGGCTGTGGGGCCAAGGGAGCCAGACTTGCTGCAAGCCGCACCTGCTGGGGC